AGAAACAATAGCTGTGATGACAGGCACATACCCACACGCCCCAAAAGTCTGCATACTGTACCACCAACAGTCTCGGCTCCTCAGGGCTGGAGTCAAATCGGGAAATACTTGGTTGACAACAGATGTGCAATTTGTCGCAAAGATCCAGCTTCCATGACTAAGGGCAGGATAAAGCTTTGAAGTTTCTCAGCAGTTAATATGAATCCATAATAACAACTCCTTTAACGCTAACTTAAATATAAATAAATAAAAAACACCCGCCTCATTTTGGCTTGTGCACGAAACTTGGGCATACCCAAATGTCTTTCTTACACATCACATGCTTGTGTGATGCATCATTTTAAAGATAGAGCCTTCCAGTTTATTTAAATATGCACTAGAATAATGCATGCCATTCCTATTTCACTCTGCATCCTTTGAAGTTTGGGGAAAAAACCTGTATATATTTTTTTGCCTCGACAGGATGCTGGAGCTGTAAAATCTTTGCTGCTGCTAACCTGTAAGCTACAAGGCTAGAGAGCTACTCACAAATGCGGCTATTATTACAAAAAACTACTGCAATGATCGCCTCGACCAAGGTCTCATTGTTTAGCTGAGAAGAAGAGGAACATGAGCATAGGATTTGTTTAGGGCCAAATCACTCGATGTTTTAGCAAAGTGGGAAGGAGCGACTTGTAATGTCTTTGAAGATGTTTCTTTTGCTAAAGCAAAACACATTTCTGGATTATATTTCCATACTGGACTATATTTTGGAAATCACAAGTGGATAGTGCTTACCCATGGATATTTACAGAAGCCTCAGCAAGCATAGATTACTTCAATATTACAGACACAGCACAAGTCCAAAGGTAAGAAAAGCTTTGTGAACTCTTTGTTTATGTGCCCATATTATGCTTTATATCTTTTTAGTAAAGTCTGATATTGCCTGCACTTGTATTTTAATATAGATGAGAAAATAAGCTTTTAAATGATATAGAGCTTGTGGGGTTTGAAGACCAAAGTACAGTTCGGCCCCCTTGAACCTTTCAACATTTCGCCACATTTCAGGCTTCAAACATTAAGATATAAAAATTTAATTTTTTGTCAAGAATCAACAACAAGTGGGACACAATCGTGAAGTGGAACGAAATTTATTGGATAATTTAAACTCTTAACAAATAAAAAACTGAAAAGTGGGGCGTGCAATTTTATTCGGCCCCCTTGCACTAATACTTTGTAGCGCCACCTTTTGCTGCAATTACAGCTGCAAGTCGCTTGGGGTATGTCTCTATCAGTTTTGCACATCGAGAGACTGGAATTCTTGCCCATTCTTCCTTGCAAAACAGCTCGAGCTCAGTCAGTTGGATGGAGAGCGTTTGTGAACAGAAGTCTTCAGCCTTTTCCACAGATTCTCGATTGGATTCAGGTCTGGACTTTGACTCGGCCATTCTAACACCTGGATACGTCTATTTGTGAACCATTCCATTGTAGATTTGGCTTTATGTTTTGGATCATTGTCCTGTTGGAAGATAAATCTCCGTCCCAGTCTCAGGTCTTTTGCAGACTCCAACAGGTTTTCTTCCAGAATGGTCCTGTATTTGGCTCCATCCATCTTCCCAGCAATTTTAGCCATCTTCCCTGTCCCTGCTGAAGAAAAGCAGGCCCAAAGCATGATGCTGCCACCACCATGTTTGACAGTGGGGATGGTGTGTTCAGGATGATGAGCTGTGTTGCTTTTACGCCAAACATATCATTTTGCATTGTGGCCAAAAAGTTTGATTTTGGTTTCATCTGACCAGAGCACCTTCTTCCACATGTTTGGTGTGTCTCCCAGGTGGCTTGTGGCAAACTTTAAAAGAGACTTTTTATGGATCTCTTTGAGAAATGGCTTTCTTCTCGCCACTCTTCCATAAAGGCCAGATTTGTGCAGTGCACGACTGATTGTTGTCCTATGGACAGACTCTCTCACCTCAGCTGTAGTTATCTGCAGTTCATCCAGAGTGATCATGGGCCTCTTGGCTGTATCTCTGATCAGTCTTCTCCTTGTTTGAGATGAAAGTTTGGAGGGACGGCCGGGTCTTGGTAGATTTGCAGTGGTCTGATACTCCTTCCATTTCAATACAACTGCTTGCACAGTGCTCCTTGAGATGTTTAAAGCTTGGGAAATCTTTTTGTATCCAAATCCGGCTTTAAACTTCTCCACAACAGTATCTCGGACCTGCCTGGTGTGTTCCTTTGTCTTCATGGTTCTCTCTGCGCTTTAAACAGAACCCTGAGACTATCAAAGAGCAGGTGCATTTATACGGAGACTTGATTACACACAGGTGCATTCTATTTATCATCATCAGTCATTTAGGACAACGTTGGATCATTCAAAGATCCTCACTGAACTTCTGGAGTGAGTTTGCTGCACTGAAAGTAAAGGGGCCGAATAATATTGCACGCCCCACTTTTCAGTTTTTTATTTGTTAAAAAAGTTTAAATTATCCAATAAATTTTGTTCCACTTCACGATTGTGTCCCACTTGTTGATTCATGACAAAAAATATTTTTTTTATATCTTTATGTTTGAAGCCTGAAATGTGGCGAAATTTTGAAAGGTTCAATGGGGGCCGAATACTTTCGCAAGGCACTGTAAATGTGCTTAGACAAGCTGAACTCAGAAAAAAGCTAAAACGGTTGATTCTATCACATGTATGTACTTTTGGCGTCTGTCATAAGTTCTAGAGGTTTCTGATTGTGCTCTTACTTGTGTCTGTTTTGGTTTTTTTTAACGTCTACTGTGGTGTATGGAAATGTATTTGGTGTCTGCGTAAAGTATGTGAACCTCAGTCTCAAGACAAATTTCTCTTTTGGGAGACAATAAAGGGGTATCTAATCTTAGCTTGTTTAAAATGTGATCATGACATTTTGGGTAGAATATATTCTCCATGTTGTCTTTTCTCTCGTGTACAGCAGCATTGTGTGTGTTTGGCATTGGTTTACAGTATATTTTCAAGTGAGTGGACTTTCTTATATGAAGTGTCAGACATACTGTACTTACTTACAATGTGCTTTCCAGCTTTGATAAGGAACACCTGATGGCTCATGGAATGTGCAATAGAAACACATGTGTCCACTGTCACTTTATTGAGTCACTTTGTCCCATACCCTCATGCTGCTAAATGTACAGATTTACACATATATTTTGTGCACTAGAATATACAGTATTTTATACATTATCATGCTAAAGTTAGATATTTTATTCTAGTATAGAGATATTGTTCATTCAGCTTGTGGTGTGTACTCAACACTGAAATGTCCCCATTGTGCAAATCTAAATCTTATACTTGTTTCAAAGTATTGCAAAACATGTGAAATTTACAACACTATTCCAAACAATTAATTTTCTGTTAAGAAAAAGTGTGGTCTTACCGTTAGAACGCTGAAGTTCTCCAACTGAACTCCTTACGTAAATATGTTGGTCATTCTCAGCTAAACTGTGCCCCTAACCTGTTGTCCATATTAGTCCTCATAATCTCAAGTAAACCCTGACTGAAGACTGAAACCTCCAAAATTGTGTTTTCACAAACTGAACAAAATATCACATCCCTGTTATTCTCCAGCGCTGCACACCACACTAATAACAAAGCACAGGTTTTTGTGTGTGCTCGGCCCCTCTGTCGGAGCGGCTCCAAATGGCACAAGTGTGAAATTGGCAACTGGATTACATGAGCGCTGCGGCGGGCCAACAGCTGGCCAGTCTCTGCAGGTCAATACTGATCAAACATTGTTGATAATGTGTGCGAGTCCATTCATTCTCATATCTAGTCACATATCACACAGCAGGGCCAGCTCATTGAAAAGCCATTTATTCTTGCAATAGAAATATTCTGTACAACATTCAAAAATATACTTCCACCTTTGTTGATCCATTCCTTTGTATTTACATGTGGTGCACAGAAAACAAATGTGCTATTTACATAAGATTTTTAACTAATACCATTGAATAATAATTGTTTGACTCAGGGCGGACCCATTTGCGGCTCTGAACTCAGCGATCAAGCAGCCAATACAACGCTTCAGTGGGCTCTGTCAATACACCTGCTTTTGACCTATTGGCACGAGGTGGAGAGCACCGTGGATCTATGGCATCGACAGACTACCCCTCCCTTCGCTCTCATTAGATCCACTCTATTAAACTCCTTATGCGTCTGTCTGTAGGTGACTGAATCCCTGCTTTCTCTGGGAAAAAACACAAATGCCACCATGAACGGTTGAATGTTGAGGACTCTTAAAGGTGCTTCTAAGCAACAGTTAAAAAGTGTGACAGTTGCCCCATTGAACTCTGGGACTGTAGTTAGTGTTTTTAAGTTTTTCTTAAGGGTTTAACTAAATCAATTAACTAAACACATTTTTTTGAATACTTAATTGTGCACAAGGTCTTCTGAAGTTAGCCCCGTACCATTGTTTTGCTAAATTAATACATTCAAGCTACAGTGTATATTAATTGTGTATTTGCTAAATCAGATATTTGCAGTTTGTCCTTAACCAAGTCGTTTTTTGAAGAGCCAGATAATTCTAGTGCCCTAAAAACCCTTCTTGAGCAAATCCTTTCCAATGTACTGCCAATAACAAAATGTGTGGAAGATTGTGGCCAGAGGACGGCAACCTTTAGACACCTTTTCAAAGCAGAGACATCTGCTTTTGTAAATTAACTCCTTACACAAGAGCTTACTTGTACCAGGTTATGATAGTTTCTCCTTGCCTTTTCTTTTCCTAAATTGTTTTTTTATCAATGTCAAGAATTACACAACTAAAAAAAGATAACTTGGATAACTATATTCGACAAAACCAAAAGCACAATTGTGTCTTTTTTTAGCCTCTCACAAAAATTGAACTACTTGTCAATCACTCAGAGAATGACACAAGTGAATGAAGAGGAATGCATGGGGAAAAGTATTATAAAAAGATACAGTATATTCCAAATGTGCATGGTTCTGGTGTTAAGTGCCTAATATTGATGTCCTTGCAAACAGGGCTTCATTCAGGAGTGGAGTTGAGGCGACCGTGGCCATGCAGCGTGGAGGAGGCAGGCTCAGGCAGGGCTGCGGTCACCACTCCCATCTTCTTGAGAGCGCGCTCGTCAGTCACAGAGAGGGAGCGTGAGAAGATGGGACGTGAGGCGGGTGGGGGTCCTGGGACACAGGGAGAGAATGACAAAGACATGTTTCTTTATGGATACTGTACCTTTGAGCTGTAATGACATTCTACCCCTGCTCCCGCACAAATGTCTTTCACATGACACAAGAGTGAAGCAAATTGACTTTGAAGGACAATGAGGTTGGGTATGATTTACATGCTACACAAAAGCATAAACCGAACAAAGATGAAAGAGAAACAAAAGATAAATAAAAAGAGCCCTGAAAGGAATTGGAAAAGCACAGGGATTGGAAAAGCACAGGGATTACAGCCAATACTCAAGATCACTCTAGCATGCACTAGCATTCACTGCACTTTGAGTTACCATTCTCATCACACAAATGTCTTCCATTGGGATATTTACAGTCAATTACATTCATTTATTTTGATCAGTGGACTGTCTGGGTGTTCAGTGTGGATCCGTGCAGTGGCAATGTTTGTCCAGCAGGGGATCAGAGACTTGCAGTGAGCTGCAGCCGCTTGAGCAATGACTGCAGATTTGTTGCAGCCTGATGCCTCTCATCATCACACACACAGGAGCGGGAGCTACAGGCCAAACTGAGAATTGAACCTTTGATATCTCTCCTCCATCCACTGGAGTTCCCCAGACTCACCAACAGGGGGCACGGTGACCAAACAGGGACACCTACACCCCCCCCACTCCAGTATGTCCCTGCTCAGACCCCCACCAGGCCTGACATTTGAAGCTAAATGCTGCAATGGTGTTTCTAAGTGATGGGGACAGCACCAGGTGGTGTAGTTTATCAGAGAATCAGATACATTACTGTCCCACTGTCCTCTGCCTCTGCAGCAGGGGGTTCAGTTCAGCAGGAATGCAGGGGCATTCACTCTCGCAATACTCCTCTGTCCTCTGTCCCGCTCACAGATGCAGAGTCCTCCGTCCCACTCACAGATGTTGTAGACATCTGGACACTTGTTCAGCACAGCTCGGGAGTACAGTTAGCAGTCTCTCTTCATGCATGTTGGCATTATTGATAATACAAATACTTTGGTGGTGGGGAATATGATTTTAGTGGGATTATCTTTGCTCTTTTCCTGTAAATGTGTGTTCTCTCACTGATGCTAAAATTAAATGTGTGAGTGATAAACACAAACTTTTTCCCCTCCCCTTCTCAGAGTTTCACATTCAGCAGTAGTCCCACCTCTCCCCCGACCCCTCCTCTTACCTGTGGTACATTTGACTTTGGTGTTGGTCTTCTCCTGCATGATACGCTCATACTCCCTCACCTGCTCCAAACTCAGACCTGCGGGAAAGGCAGAAATAATAAAACATGTTATTTTTTCTACCACAATGACCAATAATAGCATCAAGGGTAGACCCCTAAATACACTCTCCTCTAATGATTTCTACTGAATGCTCATTGTACTCACCATGCCATTCATCAACCCAGGCCACTGCTTGCCTGTGTCCGACTAGAAGAATGTCCTTAATGTTCTAAAATCAAACAAATAAAAAATGAGGAAAAACTAGAGTGAAATAATTTGTGGGAATTTAAACTAATCTAACAATCATATGGATTTCAGACCATGTTTGGTTTATTTGACTTGCTGATCCTATCAAAAAACAGCAATCCTATTGTTCATCTTGATTTGAAAATAATATCTAGAAAACATTGCATTGTATTATTTTACACCAAAATGAGCCATGTTTAAATGTAGTCTCTCAGACTTAACTACTAAGTTTTCACAGAAGTGCAAAGCAGGTTTTCCACATTGCGCAGTGGAAAAAATATTGCTCTTGGTGCTTTTGGTTTTTCATCATTCTTGTTCTTTTTCTCCAGGCTTCGTAACATCTGCCCGAGCTGTTCCTCTAAGCCTCTGGTCTCTGAAGATGTGCTCAGTGGATGTATTATAAAGCACAGAATGTCTCATCACCACAGGTGTAAACACGAGCAGGTAAACGGCAGCGCAGAGGTGCTGTAAGGCCACTGCTCTTTATCAGTTATCAAGGATATGTTTCACCAGAGCTCAATGGCACTGAAAACATGTTTTGAGTAAATCCAATAATATACACCCATTATTCTTTTAGCTTTCATAAAGTGTCTGCCTCGAGGAAGGCTCTAACGTAAGGTTAAGGTTCACATGCACTTAAAAGAAATCTATTGAATCTCTGCATGAAAAAATACATGTAAAGTGATGCTGTATCCTCTGTTTATTTTTGTCACTTTTATCGCTCAAAGAACATTTTTTTTTATAAACAAATGTAGTTTTCGTGTCTTGGATTAAACTACTGCAGAGGTGAGTTCAGCCTGGTAGAAAGCATACAACTGCAGATCGATCGATATATCTGTTGAACAATATATCGGCCGATAATTAGTGCCGAAATTATCGCAAAAGTAACTTTGACGATAAACTTTTTTACATTATTGAGATACTGGCTCTATTTCACGTTTGCCTCTTTGCCTGTTTGCCTTCTCTGTGCTGCGCTCACCCTCGGCCCCTCCCTTTGCATGTGTCTCATTCAACACAGCAGCGGCGCTGCTTAGCTAGCAGCAGAGACTGCTGTAAACATGCTCACAGGAAACAAACTTGTCTAAAACACGCGACGTGTAGAATATGACAGACGGTGGTCTAGCGTCAGAGTCTGTGGCATTTCATACCGAGGAACACGGCACGTTTTGTCACCATTGAACAACATGGCTTTATACCAGAGACTGCAAATTTAATGCGCAATTAAAGACTAAACTTAAACTTAGTTCCTATGCACTGTTCCTATTTCCACACTGAGTTGAGTCGTATTATTTTTGAAAGAAGTGAAGGAAATACGTATAATTTCTTCAAAAACAGGAAATTAAAACAAATGATAGGAGCACTTCGTTCCCACTTGAACTGACCCCTCTTTGAAGTTCAATCAAAAGACTTGGCAAATTGGCATGTTTTTTATGTTTTTGGCAGCAGTTTTTGGAGGGTTATTTATCCTGTAAAAATATCGTTATATATCATATATCGAGATGTAAAAAAAATACTGTATATATGTTTTTTTCTCCACATCGCCCAGCCCTAGTTCACATCACATATAATGTTTTTACTCAAAACAATAACCAAATTGCAATTAGAAATAATGATAACAAGAAAAAGAAGAATGACACATGCAGGAAGGAATACAGGAATGACATCTCCCTGGAGTCCAAACCCTGGTGGTGGTGGAAGATGAAGTTAGGAGCTGATGTCCCACTGTTGAGATGGTGAATTGCATGAGGAGGGTTGCAGCACAAGCTAAAGCCAGCTAAAGGCTGATTGGTTGCTGATTAGCAGAGACACTGGTGAGTTGTAGGAGGACTGTATGGCTGGTCAAATAGTTCCCATAGAAGAAATTCTGGTCTGTAAAACTGTGCCTTTTTGCTCTAAAGTCCAGTTCTGTTCTCTGAACTAATTGTGTTCAGGCAAATCTTGAAAATAATACTTAGATTTTGTCAATTGATGTCTTATTCACAGAGTTATGAGAACAAAGATTACATTTCTCTCCACATGTACTCCTTAAACCGTGATTGGAAACTCTAATATCCCTCTGTTAGTATTAGATAGCAATATGGCCTACGTGCAGGACTCTACAAGGACTCCATGTTATGACTATGATGTGACTGTCTCTTTGTGACACGTATGTCTTTCGATGTGTGACGTGACAATGACTATATAAACTGTGTACTGCCTTTATTCTGTCTGAGAGAAAGAAACAGAGTAAACTAGTGGAACTTGAGAGAAACTTAAATAAACTTCCAGAGTTTGGCACACCACGATCCGTCTCTGTCTGCCTAAATCCTAACAGATTTGGTGGAGGATGCGCGGCTCCGTGTGTGCTATTCTCTGGATTGTTTTGAGGGAGTGTTATGACAGCCTTTAGAGTAATCACATTAAAACCAGCCGCAGCAAATACACGGACGTAAAAGGTCTTTTTAATGCAGAGACTACCTTCTGACGCCATGCTGAGCTTTGTGAAGGTCCCTGCTGTCTGTCACACCCTTGTGTCTTCCTGCTCCTATCCATATGTCCTTGCTCCAGGAAGGAGCAGGGCCCTCCCGACACCTACAGACAATGGCGATCACTCTTGCCCCCTTTTCACCTCCTGCATATGTATCGGTCTGTATGTGTGTACTTGCTACTTCCTGCTGTCTGTTCACATCTCCATGCCCTGTGTCTGAATGCCTCACCACAGGGGCATGGCGCCTGCGTTTTCCTATGCGCCTCCTCACCGGTGGCCCCCTCCAATCGGTTGTGGGCGTGACTGTCTCTCATGTGTGTCTATGTATACAGGAAGCTCGGGGCTCTGGCCCCCAGAGCTGACGACATGCTGCCTTGTGTGTGTCCTCTGCCTCTCCGCACTGTGCGTTAACAATAAACTTACGCTTTTGATCAGACAAAGACCTTTTGAGTTTTCTCCTTCGATGGGGTATATATTTCTACAACAATTTGGCGTTGCTGACATGTCTTGGCATGGGATACTTTCGACGGGGACGAGCGGCTTTGTTTGGCCGACCTGGAACGACACCAGCCTCTGTTCCTTTTTGGAGACAAAGGAGAGCGCGCTCTCCCCCGCACGGAAGGAATCCTTTTGCCACACAAGACCAAAAAGAACCTAGTCTGGTGAGTCTTGTCTTTTCATCTGCGTAACGAGCCCAGGGCAAACTTAAGTGTACACGGGGATTTGTTTATTTATGTATTTTTGGGGTATTTCATTCATTGCCACAGCATAGTCTGTGTGCAGGATTTGTATTGTGTTCTAGATTGAAACTGACGGCTGCGTGGTAGTGATTCGCTCGGTAAAGCGACCCTGATAAATTCTCCAAGTGTCTTCAGCCAGAACCGCTCCGTTTTCAAGAACGCGCGCTCGCTGGTTGAACCAGCGGGGGGGGGAACGGAGCGCCCCAAAGTGGGTAGGAGCAGGGAGAGACTACACGGGTTAGGCCCATTGTTCGTACGAGAAAATGGGTAAAAAACAATCTAGAAGATGCAAGCTATGGAGTGCTTGCCTATGGTGCAGGCCATTACGCATCTTGCGTGATAATTTAGAAGAAGAAGGAAAAAAAAAAAAAAAAAAACTTGGTTTTAAGAATATCACGGCAAAAGAGGTTAGAGAAAGAAATATGTAAAAACAATAGCTCCTCCGCCTTTCACCGAAGCGGAGAAACACACAGGCGGACACACACACACACATCCCCCACACCCCCACCCTCCCCTACTAACAATAAGTGTGCACCCAAACAAGGCGTTGGGTTTTAAAAAAATGAAGCAGACTACTGTTGTCTCCTTTCCCTCTCCCTTATCCAGGTCTGTTGGCGCCTTTCCTCCGCGCTCCGTCCTCTGCCTCAAAGCACCAGCCCCACGCCCCAACCACAGGCGGCGCCCGCACCAGCTGAGACCCCGCGAGAAGTGGGCCCAAACCGCAGAAGAAGAAGAGGCGGAAACAGACACACGCTCAGGAAACCACAGAAGAAGAAGAAGCGGGGGACGCAAATATGTGAGACACAGAGAGAAACTGCTCCAAATCTCGTGACTGTTCCCCACGGAGGCGACAGCGTGAAACACAAAACGCACCCGCGGAAACCCCCTTGAAAGTTGTTCCCGCACCGCAAACAGAAGAAGCCAAAAGTACCGGCACGTTTGGGTTATCCACCAACCCTCATGGACCACAGGCTAACGCTTTGGGCTACCTGGGCCTCCTGCGGACTTTGAGAAACCTCCACAGCCCGGCGGAAAGACTGTGTGCTCGACAATGGGTCGAAGGACTGTTACCGGAGGAGGCGTTAAAGGCAGAGGCTCACACGGGGCCAGAGGACGGCAGAGGCGGGCACGGAGGAAACACGAGCGACTGACCAAACCTGGGTTCACATCCGTCACCAAAGCCACCGCTCATGTAAGTTGAACAACAACAAATTGCAATTGGCACTTTTTAGAGATAATTCATGCCCGTAATATACGCTAACAATCTGTGGTGTAAAAGTTAAAATTCTGGATGACTCCGGGGCAACAAATTCTGTGCTAAAAGTGACAGCCTTTCTGTCTCCCCTAAAGTGAGTGGTCGCTTCACAAACTCATGGCTTCAGTTAGGGCTGGGCAATTAATCGATTTTAATCATTAATTCGAGTTTTTACATTTAGGGCGATTTCTTTTCTTTTAAAATTCGATTTTCTACTACAGCGCTAACGCGCTAACCGCGGGTCTATGGTGTTGAGCAGTCATTCTGAAGCTAACCTAATGCTAACAGGCTCCCTCTGGCCTGATGCGCGCTCTCACAGTTGGTGCTGTTGCAATAACACTTCAAACGTTCAAGAATCAGACTTTATTTAGATCGCCAGAACACACACTCGTGCCCCACTGAGCCGCTGCACTTTGGGGAAAGACACGTCTCTCATTGCTCTGATACAAACAACGTGTTCCCCGCTAGCTGTTAGCTACATTAGCTGCTACAGTAGCTGTTAGCTACAGCATCAGAATGTA